GAACTCTTTTCCAAGTAAAGAATATATAACACAGAAAAAAAAGAACATGAAGTGTGAATAAAGATCGTGATCCTTCTTTTATAGATCAATATAGGTGATAATGAATATGTCGTGATTCAATGGAAAAATACAAAAAAAAAAAAAAAAGAAAAACTTAGGGAATATATCTGTTTGTTTTATTTTTTATCAACTTGTATTTGAAATTAATTATAAAAAAGTATAGTAAACAGTTTCAATGATAATTCTTTTTTTCTCTTTCCTATTATTTGTTTGTCAGAAGTAATATCATGGATACTTTATGTGATAGATAATAAGAAGGATTTCATAAAGCTTAAAAGTGTATGTGTGTGTTTTAGTAATGCTTTCAAACAATTATATATATATATATTTGGAAAATAAAATCATTTGTATGATCGTCAATTTTTATTCTTATATTGAAAAGAAGAACTTGTAGACTAAAGTTAAAAATGAAGATGATTGAAGATCAAACAATGACTTTTCCTTTTTTCTTTTCAATCCATAAAGACAATTGTATTTTGCTCAATTGTTTCTTTTATAGCATCATATAAATCATCATTCGATTGCTTTTATAGTCCATTTTTTCCGTTAAAAGAAAGCCGATGGTGTGTCTCTTCTTAACTATCTATTTTCCGTTCTATTGACATGAAACTCTTTAAAAACGGGTATTATATTAGATTAAAAGCTATTTATATTATGATTTCAATAGCTATTATTCTTATTTTAAATCTATCATCTTCAAGTTTTTCTCACAATAACTCTGCTTAATGTTTCATCTCATTCATATAAAAAACAAAATTAATCACACCTTTGAGAATAATGCTTCAATAATGATAAATTATATTTTTGTTGATTTTCACTGAATAACATCAGTACAAGTTGTTGTTGTTGTTGTCATTATTCTTATGTTTTTTTTTTGCTATTGACTCATCCTACTCATTGTATATTCATCTGTAAACATTCAATCTATTGATCATTTATGAATGAATATTACTGTATTGATGTTAATTCAATGAGCATAAAACAAAAGATTCAAACTGAATGAGAAAGAAAAACTTGAATGTAGATATGAAAATTTGTTTCTTTTTTTATTTTTCTTCCTCATATACCGGATTCTTGATGAAAAGGATTTGATGAATAACAGATTAAATCGAAAAGAATGAGAAATAAATTTTCTATGAAACAATCACATCAATCGCTTTAGATAATTTATCATTTATTAATTCTTTCATTTTTTTTTAAATAGTTTAATGGATTAGACTTTTTATACTCGGTAGAATAAACACTAATAACAATAGCAATTTTCTTATCTATTCAAATTAACGTCAGAGAAACTCTAATGGCAACACCACCCACAAAGGCATGCTCATATTTTTCTAGTATTTTCCTACCCCACTTAAATAAACATGGTTTAGTTCTCAGTGTGGCAAATATACATTGCCATGCAGACTAAAATTGCTTGTTAAACTAATATTTTGTCTAGATAAATTTTATCATTCATTATTATTGTTTGAATCTCATTTATTTGACCTATTCAAAAATATCAAATATTGAACATTTGATAATATTTTTCTCTTCTAGATTTACGTCTTAAATTATGTAGCTAATTTATCCTTTATTTCTATGAAATAATGTGTATATAATCAAGTTCTATTTAGATAAAAAAAAAATCCAGATAAAAGTGATGAATAAATGAAACATGATTATGAAACAGATACAAAAGATTATATAATAATAGATTAACAACTTTTTAATTTCTATTCTCTTTAGCATTAATTATCTTTAGAAAAAATGGATTATCTTCATAAATGAAAAAATAAAACAAATAATTCAATTAATGAAAACATCTCCTATTTTATTCTGTCGGAATTCATAAAATATGAAAAGGATGTAAATACCAATTGTTTTTATTTGATTCGCACTCAAGGATAGAATACAATTTTATTAGGATATTAGATAAGAAAAAAAAAAAAGAACAAATAGATTACAATTTCTTTCGGAATATTTGCTTACTTATATATCTAAGATACTTTTGTTTTGATAATTAATTTAAGACACATTCAAACTTTTTGAAGTTTGCAAAAACAAAATTTGACAGAAATATTCTAAGCTAATCATAGAAAAACATCAAGTATTATATATTGCTCAATAAATAGAAAAATAAAAAAGAATCAAAAAACGTCTGATTTTCATTAAAGATAATACAATTTACCTTATATTCAATTAATTCTGCTTATTTGAATACAAATAAGTGAAAAATACCCTTGATATGATCTAGAAATTTGTTATTTAAAATTAATTATTAGAACTAGAAAATGCGTAGCAATTAATGACTTTCAAATTATTACAATTGTTGAGTTCAAAAAAATTGAAAACAAATACTCAAAAAGAGAAACATCTTTCCGTCTATCAACTCAGAAGACGTTTAAAACAATTTGTTTTTTTTAACTCTTATGGTTGTAAAAAAACAATTATTTGTTTATCTAATGAAGCGGACGTCTTTTCAGTCAAGTATTTTAGCTATTCATCTTAATATTAACGAAGTACTTTTCCAGTTCGCATCAACAATTGAGACATATAAATAGACCTCGAAATCGTAATTACGCAGTTTTCTTGTAACTTAATACCATGTATGATAATCTAAATGAGATTGAAGATACATATAAAATATTTATTTTTATATACTTGTCTTTAACATTAATTTTGTTATTGAAAAGAAAGATGCTCTTAGAAAAATTCAGTTAAATTGATGGCTATTTTTATCAATGTCAATATGTAAAAAAAAAAAAAGTAAAAAAAAAAAATCTAATTATGAATTTGGAATAGATAAACGTTTGATAGAGGAATCTATATCTAGTCGAATAAAATTAAGTGTCTTTCAGCATACAAAATCTGAATTCTATTGTTTAAGAAAATTTTCTTTGTATAGATTTTTTTTCAAATTCATTTAATATTAGTTACAAGAAAAAAAAATCTGGTTTCTCGAAGTCATAGTTAATTTTTTTTGTAAATTATTCATAGATGTAAACAGATGATAAAAATGTTTACCGATATGATTAAAAATGATGAAATGAAGTTTCTATATTTTCATATTTTTATGATAAGTAAAGTGCTTACTTAGCAAGTAAAGCATCGGACCATCGTCGACCACATAGATGAATTCGTTCCATGTATAAAAATTAAAAAATGAATTATACTGATGAATTTCAATATGGCTTTAAGATTAAATAAAAGCTTGTCTATTTAATGTCGGTATGGTGTCTTTACAGCTTGTTCTTTATTTAAATACATTTTACTCGTCAAAGTCGCTCATTTCCTATAGTTAGTTGGACGTTCTTTTCTCACACTTATTTTTTGTTACTCGTTTGTCAGGATCTTTATCTTCCTTGAGTAGCGCTACTCCGTCATTTTCATTCACGAGAATAATATATAGACAAACATACCGACAAATGACAACAAGCAAAAAAAAAGCAAATCAATAACGAATAATAGAAGATTTTCCGCTATTGGTATTGTTCAATATAGTACACATAAAACTACGAGGATAGAAGAGAAATGTTTCTTTTTTTCCACATGAATTATTCAATATTGTTTCTCTTAAAAAATCATATTGACTTATCTATAAATATATATATATGTGTGTGTATATATAAATATATATATTTGAAAATGTTTTCTATTTCGGACATTTTAATGATAATCATTAGAATGCGAGCAATGCTCTATCATCATTTCACATTCTTTAGTCAGAAAATACAATATCTCGACGATAATAATGAATGTGTTGGCGAAGAATTTGAGAGATTTGATTATGTCTCTTCGAATGTGACATTTTTCTCCGGTCGAACAATGAAAAGAAACAAAACAAAATTGTCTCCTTCGTGTATCAATTTGTGACAAACAGATTGATGATGATATTAGCTTTTCAATACGCTTGGATTTTTCCGGAAGCACCTAATTACCCAGTATTTCTTAGGATATAATGTTTCATTGATAAAAAAAAGACACAAGAGCATTTATTATAACTAAAGAAAATTATGTTTTCTGTTGAATGCAGTCAAAGAAAAAAAAAAAGCTTCTTAAACATTAATAATAGGTAACAAATGGAAGGCGTAACTTTGTAAAAAAAAACGGTTGATAAGAAAAAAATGTTTAGAGCATAAATTATCTAAATATAGGATTCATTAAGTTATTCAACCATCATTATTAGATCAAATTTTTTTATGTTTATATTTTGCACTATTAAAAAAAACAAGTCAAGCATGATTTTTTATTTTTTATTTTAATCAAGTAAATGAACATAATCTTTTAGAGTGAACTATGCATGCTGATTTTTATTTAGAGATTAGCAAAAACACGCTATATGTCGTGTTATAAAATAATTTTCCATAGAGTATTACACTTTAAACTAAAGGTTTTACATGATTTTCAACATTAAAATTTATAATTTCTTTTCATGATGTGATCATATATCATGATAGTAATTATTAACGGAAATCCTGAACTTCAATAAATTGATGTTCGATGATATTTTAGACATTTTCTTTTTTCTTAAACTTTTATCTTATAAGAATAAATGTATGTGAGACTAATTATTTAAAGAAAATAATAATAATAGTATATTTTGTCATATCAGTGTGATATTTTCTAGTGTTATATAATTAATACTGTAGACAATTTGAAAGAGAGTAAATCAATTTTATCTTTATAAATCATAGAAAAAAACAGAGATATCAAGATTAAAAGAAAGGAAAATATTTATTATTAAGAAAAAAGAAGAATGTTAAGAAAGCAAATATAATTCGATATTGATTGTGTTTAATTGCATAGTTGATATATACTCTATACTATTTATTTAATAGATTGTTAATGAAATGAAAATAAAGAAAAAAAAAAACATAAAGTCAAACGAAAATAATTTATTTTATTCATATTTGTTTTTATTGATTTTTATAATGAACAAAAAATATTAACTTTGATATTTAACGCCATTGATAATAGTAAACCCAATCGATTTCCATTCGACGTGGAAAAATGTTTTCATCAATGCCTTGTGAACCACCCCTAATAATAGAAAAAAAAATACTATAATCCTTCTCTTTTTTTTTGTCTAAACGAATCTATTTACCAGAAACCACCAACAGCAATGTTAAGAATAACAAAAAATGGTTGATCAAATGGCCTAAGATAAATAAAAAGAAGATGATAAAATTTCGAATCAAAAATAAATAAAAAAAAATACCATGTAGTCCAATCCCCATGTTTATTCCAAATAAAAATTCTTGTTTGAAATGGATTACCTTCATCACCAACAAACATTTCAATTTTATCAACATTCCAGTCAAGTGTATAAATTTTAAAATTTGATGTAGCATCACCAACAATAACAGAATGGCTTGGATGATTACCTAACATATGATTATTAGCTTTTGTATGAACGGTTGAATGAATACGGAGTGGATCATAACCAACTTGTTCCATTAAATCAATTTCACCATTATCTGGCCAATAGTTAGCACTATAAACTGATCCTCGAGGTAACTAATTTCATTTGTATAGAAGAAATTATTTTTGAAATAACAAAGAAAAAACTTACCAACCAAAGTGCTGGCCATAGACCACGACCAGTTGGAAGTTTAGCACGAATTTGTAAACGACCATATGTCCATGCAGCTTTACTCTTCAAACGAGCTGAAGTGAATCGACGATTACCATAATTTTCCTAATAAAAATTAAATATGTATAATAATAAAATATTCTAATTAATTTAAATCTAATATCTTACTTTACGTGCTTCAATGATCAAACGACCATTTCCACTACCTGGAAAAAGTTCACAACGAGCATTTTCCTGTCGATTTCGTGTATAAAATTGTTCTTCATTATTTCCTATATTCGAAAAAATAAAAATAAAAAGTAAATAAATAAAAATAAATTACAAACCCCATCCATGACCACCTTCATCGAAATCCCATTTATTAAGATCAACACCACCATTCCAATCGAAATTATCTTCCCATACACGAACCCATGCAGCTTGACATATTGCCACAATACACCCTATGGATATCAACAATAGATATGCCTTCATATTGTTTTGTTTCACGTAGCTGATACTTTTATTTTCAATATCAGCCAAATACAGCACCTTTTATAGGTCGATCGAAAGAAAAAAAACAACAAAATAATAATGAAAAAGGGCAATGAATAAAAAATAATAGTGCAAAGTATATCCCATAACCCAAATTTTACTCAAATGCGTCAATCTGTCCCACTTTAAAATGGGATAAGAGGCATAGAAATATTATTCATTTGATTTCGTGGGATCGATATTACCATAAAAGACATATTTGATGAAGCGAGAACAATCCCACATTACTTATCACAAGTGGGACACCAAGTAATACATAAAGAAACAGTGGCAAAATAATCATGTTTAGAATGTTCGTATTCATATTTGTATTGCTATTGGTTCACGTCTAATATCATCGATATTGTCCGGTAAATTAAAAATATTAAATTCAACAATATAGTTTTTTTTTAATGAAATTATCTCACTAAAACTAATTGATACCGAATAATCTAAAATTTTATTTCACAATTTTTTTTTTTTATTGATAAAAAATAAAAGATTTCAATCATGTATCAAATTTCCATAAATAATCTTAGTATCACAAATCTATCGAGCCAAAAATAGTTTTTCTTCTAATCAAGGACAGATGGCCTTGAGTACATTTATGTTAAAGCTTTGAGATTGCATTTTCTTGGCTAGTTTATAACATCAAGTAATAGTACATATAATTACTCTTTTGATGGTATATACAATACTTTTATATAATTCTTTTTTTTTCTTGCAAAGTTAGTTAGCTTAGAAATATGTTTAGTAATATAACGATCTATATGTAAATTTAATTTATCAAAATGAGACAATGATTCATTATTGAATAATGACAAAATGTAATTTTTTTTTCTAATGAATATACAAAATTATTAGATTTTACTTTCAACTAATGATGAAAAATTTTGATACAACAGCTTGTTAGCGAAGCTCCTTTGAGACTGGAACATGGAACTCACATATTCCATATCAACTAATTCATAATTTAGTATAATTTTTTTTTAATGTAATGAAATATACTTAAAAGTTTGGAACAAATAAAGTAAATCAATTAAAGTTTTATACAATGAAAGATTTATTTGCTTATTAATAGTGATCAACATTGCTCACAAAATATCAAAAATATTTTTTCTTTAAAATCATTTTCGATCTGATTAAATTGTTATAGGTTCTTTGACATATAAAAATAAAATGTTGCTTAATTTATAATAAAGAAATCATTTTCTTTTTTCATCAAATAGCAACACTAGTGTTTTTACGGTATCATGAAAAAAGAAATATGACAACAGTCAAAATGCATGAAATAATAAATAACTATCATGATACTTCTCATAAATTGAAACAGTTACAGACAGAGACTGAAATACTAAGTACGATAAGCAAAAGCAAAATATTATGTGACTATTACTAGTACACATATTAGTACATTAATTCCACACTCTTGCCTTTGCTTGTTTTTCTCTTTGATCTTAAAATTTCAATCGATGTTATTCGCTATGTGAGTCTCTGATTTTTTGCGTACTTAACTATAAATGACATTAATATTAAAATGATTCATTTATGTCTGTGGTAGCTAAGATTTATAATGCAGAGGGAGGAGCGGGTGCGCAAAACTTTAATCAATAACTTTTAACTCAGTTGCTAAAGTATGTAGTGGATACCTGCAAAACTTCGACATAAAACTTACACTCACTATTTTCGTCGAAAAAAGATGTGAGTTCTACAAAATTGATACTAATTTTTAAAAGTAGATATAGATGTCTGTAGACTTGACAGTTGTTTGAAAAAAAAAGGAAAATTTTTCCCTTGCCATTTATAATATTTTAAGAAACCGAACAATTTTGATCGATATGAATTTAAGCATAGAAACGAATAAACTTTGAAAAATCTGAATTATTAATGATTAAAGTAATATAAATTTGAATATATTTTGAATTGATAATCTTAAATTAGGTATTATTGTGTTGTCTCTTTCATAATATGTAAAAATGAATGAATTATTAAAAATATTTGTCAATAATTCGAATATTCCCAACACATGTCAAGCTTTTTTTTGTCATGGCATTATTTTTATTTCTTATCATGAAATATTTTTTGTTTTCTAACAGAGTATTGTAAACGTAATTATAGAATTTGTTCTGTGCACTCAAAGTAAAATTATATTCAAACACAATACAATTCAAGTCTCTAATCAATACAGACTAATTGACAAGAGCTATGTAAAGCTGTTAACACAAACTCTATGGAATAAAAATATGAAATACGATCAAATTACTTACATTGTAAATGAAAGAGTTCATGAATATATTTTGTAATTTCTGCGTTACTACCTACTTTTAATTAGTGTCGATGATGAAAGATGTTAACCACATATATTACAATGAATGAGAAAAGTCGACAAATGACAAGTGTCTTAAATTCAACCATATTTTATAATAAATGCGCGGGGAAATTCACTTTCGCGAGTATGTTTTACAGTCCGTGACAATACTAAGATTTTTGATAGGTTCTACAATGGAAGAGGATGCTGTTAAATTGTCTTTTATGGTTTGTGGTAAGAGAGCGGTCGTTGCTAAGGTAATGGAAAGAAGCGTTGCTAGATTGTCTGTCACGGTCTATACAGAGGATAGGTAGTGCCTGGATTTCCATCTCTATACTTTGACACTCCTTTTAGATTGTGTGTCATAAAATTTTATTTCTACATTTTTTTCCTCTCACTAAGATCACGAACAATATTCTTATAAATCTCAGTAGACTATACCAAACAAACAAACAAACAAACTTTCGGAAATCAATGTTAACAATGATTTCAACATCGAAAGAAAAGTTTCAAGGCCTTGGTACTTTTTCTTTATTAATTATTTTATACTCTAGATTGCAGTTATGAATAGCATCATATACACATAAAATGTTGAATTTTTTTATTGATAATATCTGAATGATGATGCAATATTTATGAGTCAAACTCTAAAACCTTTACGAACAGAAAATAAATCAATAACATGGAAAAACAAAATAAATCTATAAAATCTGTCATGTTATTGGATAAATTTCTCATGGATAACAAAAACAATTATTATACTAATTTTTACTAATTAATCATAAAATTCCATTCAACAACAGAATTCATTTATCTTAATATAAAGTTTATCTGTAAAACTAAAAAAAAATCAAAGACGAACAAATGTTATTTTTCACATGCAAGATAAATATATTTATTATTTAAAAGTCACCTGTCATAATCACATGTTTTATTTCTAACTTGAACAAATAAAAACATATATCTCCATTTTATACAAGGTAGTTCGTTTAATTTATTACCAGTCTCATTTGAAAACGGTTGGCTTTATCTTATTGCACTGTAAACTTGTAGTCTTTATTATTATTATTATTTCAATATTAAATCAATAGAATGAATGATATTTAAAAATAAAATAAAATCTTTCTTTTCATCTTAAAAGATATATTTAAAACGATTTTGTCGTTTACGTGGATTTGTTTTATGTTGCATTGTCATATGATGGCCTCCCTGTAAAGGTTCACCAGGAGCTGGACCATTTGGTGGTGGTGGAATACGGAATACATTTTCAGGAATTTTATCCACGTTTAAATTCTAAATAATTAAAATAAAACAAAAAAATTAAATATATAAAGCAAAAAAAAAAAGAACATACTCGATCATATCCAAAATAATATTGTGGAGGTCCACTACTTGCACAAAAACCATCTTCTAATATTTTATCACCATCAACCCAATACATCATATAAAAATTGCACATTTCATCATTTCCAGTTGCACTAAATTATAAAAATAGACAATAATTTTGAAAATAAATAATAAAAATGTTCATACCCAATTCTAACAGTATGTGATTGATAATTAAACATTGTACAAGCTGCAGCAACATAATCACCTTGTTTAATTGGAACATCACTTTGAATTGGATAAAACATTTGTGGTAACTGAGGTGATCGTCGACCAATTTCTGTCCATTCTTGATCATCACCTTCACCGCGTACTCGATATCCAGAATTTACAAGACCTTTATTTAAATAATTAATAATATTTTACTATCAAATAAAATCTTACCAAGTTTATGAGCATGAGTACGAAAAGCAAATGGATGCATCACAATATCGTCTTTAATTTCACAAGCTACTTCAAATACTTCTAAAAATAAAGAAGACTATTTCTTAGTAAAATCCAAAGAAAAAAGTAGATATGAGAAATAGACTTTAACGTGCACGAAAGGCAAGATATGAACTGACCTTCGGTTTTCGGTTCAATATGACCGCCAGTCACAAGGAGAAAGATACCAGCGCGCTTAGGTGTACTACATATAAAAATAGCGAGCAAATACAAATAATAACAAACATATACAAAAGCATAGAATGAGTACAACAACTATGAAAACTAATAACACGTATAAATTACCAAGTGAATAAGGTGCAATTGCACCATCAGTTACTAATAACAGTACACCAGCCCTCTTTGATAATCTTTATAAAAGTGTAAATTAAGCAGAAGCATTAAAAAAAACCCTTCAATCTCTCAAAACTAATCACGTAAATTTAGAGAACCTATGAATGACTAATGTTCGTTAGAAGCAATTTGTACTTACGGTACAGGTGACGTTGTGAGAATTAAACCTGAACGATCAGATTGACCAGCTAAAATAAATATGTTTTATTGTTAATTTACTTATCATTAAATTAATTACCTTTGAATTTATCTATATTGGCATAATGAACTTGTAATACGAGATATTTTATAGGTGTTGAAACGCCAACTTTAAAAGCAACATCTACAAAGAATTAACTTATTTATTTTAACATTGAATTTATTTTATTAGAAATTCAACCTTTTGGTAATTCAGTCTTATCAGCATCTAAAGCCCAAGCATAAATAATAGTCGCACCCGAAGCACATGTTGGTCCAGTTTCGTAACTTTTTTTAGAACTATCATTTGAATAAGCCATTTCACCACAATTCCTAAAAGCAAAACAATCTTTTGTTTTGTTGTTATAAAATTAATTTTTTATTTTAGATCCTACCAAATCTTTTGATGACTGCCTGGTTCTGTACATCCATAAAGTAAAATATGGTGAGCATCTTTTGATGTTGCTGCTGGGTTAAAAGCAGCTAAAATTCAAAATAAATAAAAAATTTATCATTACCTTATTCTTTTCTTAAATACTAACTTATATAAGTCGGGTTATCTGAATCCATTTCATATGATGTACATAGATAATCATCGACCTAATCAAATAATACAATTTTATGGTTTCATATTATATCATAAAATACGAACATGAGTAGCAACTGCATCAGGCATAACAATATCTAATGTATTTGGTGATTTCTCTGCTGATATCAACAAGAATATCGAGCAAAAACTTAAAATAAGGGATAATGGACTATGATTCTTCATGCTAGAAAGAAAGGGAATCATGGGAACAACAGAAAAAAAAATAATAATAATGCACCACCATCAATCGGATCCGACCGCCACCATTATCCTCAACATAATATTTTTTTTTCTTTTTCTTCTCTCATTCGAATAGATTCTAGTGCGTTAGCTTCTTCGGCTAATATATATATAGTTGTCGTTACCAACGAGTCAGAAAAAAATATAGAATAAACCTATAGAACATGACGTTTGGTTTTTTTTAAATTAATATAGAAAAAAATAATAAGTTTCTAACAAAATTTTTCTCGGTCAACTTCAAGTGAATTTGATGCTTTATCATCGGTAATTATTTGTAATTTAATAAGAAAATAAATTTTGATTACTGATAAAAATAATGATTAGAATATGAATACATTCAATATACAATTCGTCAAAGACAATGGAGAATAATTATTTGTATGAAATCAATTGTATGAATCTAATTTACCAGACTGTTAATATCAATTAAAATATCATAGATAAATCTAAAATTTTTTTGTTTTTTATTTCACAAAAAATATTTCTATTCTCTGAAGAAGACAAGATGTCATACTGAATCTTCTAGAGTGCTAGATTTCGGTTCTATTTGCGGAAGTGTTTTTAAGTTTCAAACTTTCTCACTAAAACCTTTCTAAGTTCTAAACTTAACCTAAAAAGGTTGAGAAACTGCTACCGAAATCTAGAACCTTAAAAAGATTCATTGGGAGATCTTTTGTTCAAAATGTATTGTCTTAATTCTGTTGATTGGTTGTATTCATACTCTTTGCTATACGACAATCCATCGAATGGCAGACAACTTGTTTTTGATTATTATATGGCTCATAATTCCTGTAGATCTGGATTCATATCCGTATTTATATTATTATGAATAATAATCACTATATTGTCCATATTGTATTTATGATAACTATTAATTATTATTGTTATCATTTATTATTTGATTAGTATTATTATAACAATGCAGATTTATATTATAAAATCATTGTTAATTATTCCAATTCTGATCGATAAAAGGATGATTTGGTGTATATGGTTCATAATTATCAGAACGGACATAATGCTGTTAATTATTTTGCATAATATCAATCGATAAAAAAAGAAGTCACTGAGAAATAAATTTGAAAAAAAAATCACAATGATGATTGTTTGACTGGAAGGCATAACCTAATCAATCTTCTTGTAGAACAAAAGATAGAAAAAAGATTCAATTATTTCTAAAGGAATTAATCAAGTATAGTCGGCATTATTTCAATGATACTTGATTGAAATACTTGAATGTCAACTAATTATCATAAGTACTACGCACATTTACTTATTAGAAAAATTCACCAAGGAATTTTTATTATAAAATTATTTTATTGCAACAACACATTGTGATTGATTAATTTCTTTATTTGAATAATTACAAAAAATCTTGTGCATTTCATCTTTTATAGTAATTGAACACAACAGTTGGTTCTTTCTCTTAACTACAATCGAGCAAATATGCAAATATAAAAATTAATTTTTTTTTTTCAAATATGTTTAGTTCTTCATACGATACTTTTTGATTGCAACCTTCTATTGTTTGAAATGTATTGAATGGAATGTTTTTTTTTCAAATTTTTATGTCAAATAAATAGAAACTCATTTGTTATGTTTGACTAAGACCTTGAAGAAGTAATGAATTTTATTAACGATTGACTGTAAAAATTTCATTTAGTATCTTCATAGCGTGATATACTTCTTTATTTTATTTTCTATTACTATATCACATCTACTAATCACACAAAGAAAGCTGAACATGTGTATTGAATGAATCATAATACAATATAAGGTTTCAGGATTTAGAAGACATAGTGAATAGGATTGAAAGTATTTTATATGTAGTTTTCATGGATGTAATAATAATTTTGTCTTCCTTTTTGTATCTAAGAACATTAAAAATAATGTTATAATCTTTATGTATATTACATAATTTTGTTTTTCTTGTAATATAGCATTCACGGACGAAACTGACAAATCATTTGACTCAAACATTTTTCTTGTATTTCTTTTTTTTCTCTTCTTTGCTTTGTCTTCCAAAATTTATGCCATTACTACTTCAAGAAGAATATTTTAAAATACTTTCGAAAGTATAATGAAGAAAGGAAATATTTCAACGACAATATTATATGAAAGTAGTCGAAAAAAAAAGAAAGAAAAAAAAATAATTTGTTGCTTAACGATCAACAATTTTAAAGACTCGCAAACGTTACATGACACCGAACTCTTTACCTATTCTTTTGATGTTTCTTTTCTTTTTTTTGTTTCTTTTTCTTTGTTCATACGTAAAACGAACGACAAAAAAAAAAAGAGAACTCATTAAATTTCAATCGACTCGAGCACTAACAATAGACAAGTCTATACAGTAATCATGTCAGTGAATATAGTAACACGGAGATGAGAGAAAGAAAAAATCGATATACGATGCATAAATGGAACTTGGTTCTTTGCTCTCTCTTATTTAATGGGTAATAGAATACGAATTTTATTACATTTCGACAATACATTGAGGTAAATTTTCTAGACAAATTTTTATAATTATTTCTTATTTTTTTTTCTTTGAATTGAATAACATCACTTGTTTTATGCCACAAAATCAATAAGTCTAGAATATGTAACCGAATACACCATATTCATAAAAAAATTGACGTATAAATTGACAGATTTGTTTTTTTTTAAATACTCACAACGTTGCACTATAAAAAAATGGGACGGAAAGAGGGAAGCAAGGTAAATATGGTTTAGCTTTCGATTACAAGGAGAATTTCGTGTGAAGAAAAAACAAGAAGCCGTTACTTCGGCCGATTTTTCAAATGAGACGTACAGAGGATTGAAAAAAACAAATCATAAACTTGTTTTTCTTCAATACTTGTCAAATATATCAATGAAGCAAATACTTAGATTTATGATCATTTTCTTTATTTTATTTCTTGATTCACTGTAAGTCTGATTTAACTCATGGTAAGTTTAATCACTTGTTTTTTGATTTTCACCAATTTTCGGTATTTGATTACTCAGTCAAACGCGAAAGCTTATAAAATGCATGTACCCATAGCATTATTGCTATGTGTACATGTATGAATCGTTACGACATGGCATGCAGGAGAACGCATCACAGAGTAATCTATATTCGTGTTTACATGCATAAAATTTTGCGAATGTCCACGTTTGATATTGTCCCTGTATGCGAGGACATATGAAACCTTTTGTAAAGAATCTTCGCTTGCGCATGTAAGACAATTTTACAATAACCAAAAAAAAAGAAGTATATGTAGTAAACATACAGGAATACAGAAGAGTTTTTTTTTCTGAGATAAAATTCAAATATGCATACTTTACGTTATAAAATAAAGTTCTTCACCATGCGACTGTCTACTTACATTAGAATTGCTATGAAAACTGGATGATATAATGTTCATCAGATAACTGATAAGCATGAGTGAGCATGAGTACTAATAACTATTGATGAGTTCGAAAAATTGAACAAGATTTTTGAACCAATATAGTGTAGATATGTGAGAACGATTTCATTTTAATGAGAAATAAATAATTAAATACATGTCGAGAAAAAAAAGAAAACTAAATTCTTTCATCAAGCAACACGCACACTACAAAATAACTGAAATTTTCATGCCGACGCAGAGTTGCTTTGATAATAGTTTCCGTCGATACGACCTTCCTGCATTGACGCGCAGAATAAATCAAAATTCTAACGATCTTGAAGGTACGCACCAATAACACGTTGGTATTTACATGCGAGTAACATATCTCGTGTAAACACGTCAGAATGTTTCATGCAACTATTCACAAGGATAAAAGTCATACACGGTCTCGCTTATTTTGCTTAGAAATTTAAAGCATTGTATTTTCATGCATGTGTTTGTGACGTATATGTCTATGAATGTGATATTATCTTGCATTTATGCAGTACAAGTGTAAATATTTAAAATAGTTTCTATGTTCGCGCATGAGGTACGACGACTTCAAAAAGTACTTTGCAAGTAAACGCGAGTTACCGAAATTTTCCTGCAAACATATGCATTTTTTTAGCTTTCGTGTTCGATTGGATAACTGAATTAGAATTTCAAATGGAGAATGATTAAATAAGTATAAGAAAAGATATTCTCATTCTCTGTCAACTTTTAAACAAAAATTTTATTTTTACAATTTTTGTATTGTGTTTATTTAATCAAGTGAATAAAGAGAGTAAATTATTAAAAATTTCCATTACTAACAAAAAAAAGAATACGATCATGTGTCCTTCTATTTGATTTAGATTCACCGACGATGAAATTATTTACAAATAGAAATTGGACTGTTTGAATATCATTTTTCAATTCGTTAAAGTGATCATAACAGATTTTTTTGTTATTGTAGATTAATTGTTTGGGTTGTAATAGAAATATACTTGTCAATAAAAAAAATAAAACATATGACGAAAAATAATTATTTATAATGTTTCCTATTCGTCGATGTAATACATTATTATCAAGAATATTTTTAGTTGTAATTCTTTTTTCAATATCTATATTTGTTATAAATGGTTTTACAAAATATTTTTATAAAACTGATAATCATCAATATGTACTAGCTAGAAATAAATTATTAGAAGATCATCAAACTGAACATGAACATAATCATCAAAAATCTCCTAGTTTCATTCATCGAGTAAGATTAAAAAATGATTTGAATGTACTATAGAATTTTCTTTATAGGAATTATTTAATGTAAATACTGAATCAATTGTACATACTTCAGCAATTGAAAGTCGTCATGTACTTCAAGAAAATAATTCATCAACATCGGAATTAACTAAAATAGCTAATAGACCTGTATCAGTTTATGTTCATTTTGATTTAAAA